TTTACTAAAAGAACATGTATTCAATTTAATTATTTGTAACCTGCTTTATTTGGGGGTGGGCCTCACATCCTCTAGGGGGCACCTCACATCCTCTAGGGGGGTCCTCACCTCCTCCAGGGGGACCTCACATCCTCTAGGGGGGTCCTCATCTCCTCTAGGGGGGTCCGGGAGCATGCACCCCCGGGAAGATGTTTTTTAAAATGTTGAAGTGAAATGCATCAATCTGGTGCACTTTGAGCACAAAATGAATTTATGGATACAGCTCTCATGAAAGGGAGCTGTATACTTTTCAATACTCCAATCATCTTTAGAATATTATCACAACCAATAACAAATCATTTAAACTTGTTTATTCTTATCTTATGTTAGCATTCTTTCTTTTTATTTATGCATATTTTACTAATCATTCCCCTTTTAAACAGTTTTTTGTACTGTCCTATAGTACACATTGGAATGATTTCTTACTTTATCTATTGAATAGATAAAAGTGTGCTCTCCCTAGCTCTCTCTCTATCCCTCTCTCTCCCTCCCTAGCTCCCTCGCTCTCTCTCCCTCTGTCTCGCTCGCTCACAGAGGTTGTATGCTCCTCCGTGGCGATGACGGCTTGCGTTAAAAATAAATAAATAAACATATTTGTAAAGTGGGGGGACACAAACGGGATTTCGAAAAGTGCGGGGGACATGTCCCCCGTCCCCGTCCCCAGTGGAGATTACGCCATGCGTGTGTGTGCGTCAAGTGCAATAAATATATATGCAAGTTACAACACACAGAGTAAAACTCTGCCCCTCATGTGCAGTATAGGCTGGCATGACTAGCTGTGGTCAATGGAGCTGATGTGTTGTGTAGATTCGGCCAGAAGGAAAATCAGCGGGGAGGTTGCTTTTCTTCCCGACTGCAACGCTGGTCCCGCAAATCAAGCAAGAACGTGATTGGTCGATATTCATTGTGGGGGTGGGGAGGAGGGGTGTTAGATAGATATAGAGTTGTAGTAAGTAGATAGAGTTTGCTATGATTTAGGTTTCGTTTATGCATAGGGTAGATTCTTTTAATAACATTTCCATTTTTGTTTTGTGTATTTTATACATTTTGGATTTGCTTGGCGAGCTATGTTTAGAACATGCCCCGCGGGCGACTCACGTTGCCCCTGCGGGCGACTGAGTGCCCGCGGACACCGTGTTGGCTACCCCTGCTCTAGAATATGGGCCGACTCTCCCCGGGCTTGCGAATGCAGAATGCCCGAAAAGTGAGGGGGGGTGACAGCGAATTGGAGTCTGTAACCCTGTGTTATTGTCTTGAAAACCCAAGCAGAATCTGTGAGCATCCTCCACTTTTCGCTTCTCAAAGCGAGTGGAGATGTCACATCCCTGTCGTCTGCCCTCTGTGTTTTTATTTGTTGTGTTATGGGGCCCTCTACTGTCTGAACACGGTGGTACCCCAGGTTGACACTGCGCATGCGCGTGGCGATGATGCCTTCACAGCCCCGTCCATCGTCCGCCTTCTGAGAGAGGTAGCAGCCACTCTTAGAAGGGGGGTAGACGTCAGACTGTTTATTGTTTTTATTGTCTTTATTTTCATTTTTATTGACTGCGCCCTTGGCTTTAAGCCTGGAAACGACAGTGGAAAATGATTTATTAAAAGACAATAGTGATGACATGTGTTTGTATGACTTAAACGAGCAGCGGAGCTTGCTGTCGTTGATGTTAAGTCCATTTCGCTCATGGCGCGAACTTGAGGATGACGTTCTGACATCACTCGAGGCGGCGGAAAGATGGGGGCATGGTTGCACCCCGGAAACACATGAGCATCTAACACTGTAACGTGTTCTGGAGCTGGAGAACAGGGAACTTCCAGCTCTTTTATCGAGGAGAGGAGGCTGTCAGGCCGCCCTCTTCTTCTTCCTCGTCTGGTGGCTGAAAGTCTGGGCCGGCTGTGCCCGTGCGGCTGCTGCCGGAACCGGAGACTTTCTTGGCCAGCTCGTCCTCGCCTCGTGTCTGGGCTGGAGACCCGGGGTGGGCTGTGGCCTCTGCTGTTTCGGGATCTTGAAACGGGCAGGACGTGAGGCAGCCTGAGCGAAGGACTGCCGCGGGGCCGTTGAAGGCGGCGGCTGGACCCTTCGGGGAAGACAAAGCTGGAGAGCCGCATCCTCCTTCTTTTTGGATTCACACCGCTGCTGCATCGAAGCTAGAGCGGAGCCAAATATGCCCTCGGGAACAATAGGCATGTCCAAGACGTCCTCTTTTTCCCGGTCTGGAAGGTTCGTCAGGGTAAGCCACCTGGCTCTCTCCTGTACCACCATTATCCCCAGTGCTTTGCCCGTGGCTTGGACTGCACAGCGCTGCACACGGAGGCAAATGTCCGTGATCGCTGCGATCTCGTCCCACATGGCAGGCTCAGGTTTGATCGTCATGTCCTCGCAGAGCTCCGCCTGGTAGGCGGTCAGCAGCGAGGAGACGTTGAGCGCCCTGGCGGACAAAGCTGCGGCTTTATAGGCTCGTTCGGTCATTGCTGACTGGAAGCGGTCTGCCTTTGCCGGTAGCGTGGGGTTCCTGCTCGGTGCCGAAGCCAGCCGCGGTTGGAGGTGGGCGGCCACCAGCGGTTCCATGGGCGGCATGCGGAGCAGGCCGAGCTTCTCTATGCCGACAGTCCAAAGAGGAGGCATCCTGGATTGGGGCCTAGTTGCTGAAAGGGCGGTCTCTCCACGAGACCAACACCTCGTCCAGCATCTCTGGAAAGACTGGGAGAAGCTGCTTCCTCATCCTCGCTGATTGGGGCAAGTTCTTCCCCTCATAGCGAGATCTGGAGGTCTCCTTGGCCACTTCAGGCCAGGGGATGTCCAGCCTGGACGCAGCGCGTTGGCGCACGGCCTGCAAGTCCATACTGAGGCAGGGCGAAGGTGGTGTGCTTTCGCCCGGGGGAGCGGACATCGCCTCCGGCTTGGCAGCCTGGGCAGATGAAACGAAGATGCCATCTTCGTGCTCATCCGAGTCGGATAAGAGGAACTCAGAGGCATCCTCTTCATCCTCCTCCATATAATCCAGCTGTAGGACATCCTCCGCGGGTGGAACCACGGTGAGGTCCAGTTGGGAGCCCCAGCTTGACACAGCGCGGGGCTCCGCTCTCGCGGCTCTTGCCGCCACCCGGCCCCAGCCTGACACGGCGCGGGGCTCCGATTCCGCGGCTACAGCCGTTGTTGAGCCCCAGCCTGACACAGCGCGGGGCTCAATCTCCGCGGCGGTCGCCACCATGTCCCGATTGCCGGCCGGCGAATCCACGGACATGAAGGGGTCCCGTCCCGACAGGCTAGCTTGGCGCGCTAGCCGTCGGCGGAGGCTTTTGATTGTGAAGCGGGCACAATGTCCGCACGAACCGGGGGTATCGATAGCTTCCTGGGCGTGTTCCAGCCCAAAGCAGGACGAGCAGACCCGGTGTGAGTCCGTGCCTGAGATCCTAAACCCGCAGCCACAGAGCCGAGCCTCCGACTCCTCTGGTGTGAGGGAGAGAAGGGTCCATCCTCGTTTGCCGGGGTGTCTGCGCGGAGGGACAAGCTAGTAACAGGTATGTTACCGAAAAAAAATCCAACTTTATCGTTATTCCGAAAGGAAAAAACGACGGGGTAGATTTTTCTTTAAAAAATATTAACTGGTGTGTTAATATCTTTCTTATCTCCATCTCCTCTGGTGTGAGGGAGAGAAGAGTCCGTCCCCGCTCGCCGTGGTGTCGGCGCGGAGGGATAAACTAGCAACAGGTATGTTACTGTTTGAAGAAAAAATCAAACCTTACCGTTATTTCGAAAGAAAAAAAGCGGGGCAGATTACAATATTAACTGGTGTGTTAATATTTGTTCAATTCTTCTGCAAAGCAAAAAAGTAACCGGCAAGCGCCCGTCGACCGAATGTTAGCTTGGGTTCAGTCTGTGGACCGTTAAGCTAGCCCGGCTACTGATATTCGAGATGTGCTCTGAAGCGAGAAGAGGTGTTTGAATGACGCTGCGACATAGCGCAAGCTACTAAAAGGGTGGGTGGATTCCCTGACGTAGACGTCAAGATCACCAGCCAATCAGGATTGGCGTAATGAGATTGATGCTTCTGTTTGCATACGCGTTGAGGCGCATCCCATAGTGAGACATCAAACGGAGTGTTATGAATGAGAACGTCACTATCAACGTGTTTTGGACGTAATATGGTCTTTGTTTACATTAGCAAACATCGCTAACACTCAGAGCGTACCTGTACTGGAGAGAGTGTAAAAAAAAAAGTGCCTATGTGTAAAAAAGCAGCAAATAAAAAAAGGAACTCACCTTGTGGTAAACCCGCAAGAGAAAAAGCATTTGAGCTCCATACTGTTTCAGAAATAATCTTTGATGTGGTTTGGAACATGAAATGGCGTTTAATCACGGCATTATTTAGCTGCATCTGAGCAGAGCAAACACTCATCTCTCTGGAGCTCTCTGTGAGCCTGCATGCTCCAAAGGGGGCGGGGCCAGCAGCTACTGACCCATCTGTTTGGTATTTTAAGCAAAACACATCATAGACATGTTTTTTTATATATTTTTATATATCTGAGAACCATAATGCCTAAAAATAGCATAGGCCTAATAGGAGACCTTTAATGCACTGTAAAAACTGTTGCTTTGGTAAAACTTTTAAAAAATGTGTCAAGCGGTTCCCAGCAATTTTAAGAGTTTAGTCAACTTTTGCATTTTTTTAGTTGGTGAAACGTACTTTTTTAAGTTTTCCTCTACTCAAGAATGTGTTACTTTGCTAAAACTTAAAAAATATGTGTCAAGTGGTTCCAAGCAATTATAGGAGTTGGATAAACTCACTAATGTGATTTTTTCTGCATGTGAAAAGATGAGATGAGCCTACAATTAAAAGCCAACATATTAAGTGTAACCAATGCAAATAACAATCTGCTAAGAACCACATAAGACAAGAATAAATAAAGTAAATTATAAAACACAATTGAGTTGCCAGAACCTATATGACAAACTCTTCCTGATTTCAAGCCAACCCTTTGAATATTTGATAGCATTGAAACATTGCAGATTAAACTAATAGATTTAAAAAAGAGAATGTTATGGACATTTTATTTTATTAACATAAGCAGCAGAAAGTGCTTTCAAACGTTTTTCATAAAACAGTAACATGTTTAGAAGCACAACACATAACATTAACGTAACACTGACACAGGAGAAAGTCTTAACATTTGTGTTAACAACTTAAAGTTACTCTTAAGGTAAGTGCTGCTAATGACCTACAAAAAGTTAGAACATATACTTAAACAGTATTTTCTGTTTGTTAAGGCTCCTATAAAAACAGACACAGTTGACAAAATCCTGGCTTTTAAGAACAATATTTGCCATGTCTTAACTAATGTTTGGTTTTAAAACAGAACAAAGGCATTTGTAATTTTTCTGATTTCTTCAATAAAAACATAACATGACAAAGGTAATCTTAATAACATTTGTATTTATATTCACACTTAGGCAAACGTAAGGTGATGGGTAACCTGGGTAAGGTAACTTTATTTTAAAGTGCTGCTTACAAGTTGTAAAAGTATTATCTGAGCTTTTAAACAGTTTTTCTATTTTTAAAGGCTCATAAAAAAAAGGACACGATTAATAACATCCTGGTTTAAAACAAAAAATATGTGCATGTCTTCACTGAACTCCTGAAGTCTTTCCTCTCTGGTTGATGTTGGAACATGTAAAAGTGCATACTCTAAAAACTGTTACTTTGATAAAATGTTTGAGAATGCCAAGAATCTGATGTCAGATTGAAGAGAAGTTGGGGTGACTTTCTTAAAGTAACTTTACAGAATGCAGGATCGCTCTTAATCAGTCCATAAAACCACACATACATTTACAAGATCGCACTCACAGCTCAGAAACATTGTGAATCAGCGTTGATCACAAATGACCAACAGCTTTTGCCAGCCATCAGCTGAGCCAACAGCTCTAGGCCAGTTTGTTTTTTAGGCTGATGTACCTTGAAGATGGCTTCGGCTGAAGGGTGTCCAGTCCCATGAAGAGTCTCTGAAAGACTTCAAAGGTTTTGGCAAGTTTTGCAGGATATTGCAGATTTAGAGCATAGGTCAGTCCAAGAAGGAGGCAGCAGGCTCTGGCAACATTGCCCACATCAGCCAACACTGGCATGCCCTCGATGATGATCCCAACTGCATCTGGCTCGTGGGCAACGTATAGTTTGATGCTGTGCATCACGCGCCTCTGTTGCACTTCAACCTCTGCTTCTCCCATACAAACAAAACACTAAATTGAGTACAAATCAGGAAACACCTGTGTTTTCCTCAATAACAAAAAAATCCGTCTTGAAGTCACAACGAATACAGCCAGTTTACATTAGCTGGTAACAGAGGTGCAATTCACGTGCATTACAAGGGGTTTAAGACATTACAAAAAATACTGTTTTGCAAGAATTTACCACATAGTCATGATATTGATATAGTTCATAAAATGTCAAACTACCTATTTTTAACCTCACCTCATGCTCAGAGATTAGCTCCTCTCCACGTTCTCCCATATATTCAATGAGGCATCTCAAGGTCACCTCTCTCTTTTTACAGACAGTAGCACATGGGTCCTAGAATAAATAAGAATAGACGATTATTTCAACCAATCTTTAACGATTTACTTTCAATTATCTGTTGTTTATGCGACAGCTTAATTCAGATATATGTTAATTAAGGAGATCCCTGATGTTAAGTTGACCAGAATGTTTATTTCCACTGTGTACAACATGTAAGAAGCAACCCCACAATACATTTTTTATTTGCATCTAATGTTGCTCTTTATTATTTCTAATGTCACACATCTACATGTTATGATATTGTGTTCTTGCTAAGCAGTATTTTATTTGGAAATGCTGTTGTTAGTCTTCGCCACCAGGTTGCGTCAAGAGAGAGAAGAAGCATAAGAAGAAGAAGTCTTCTTCTGTGGTTGTAAATAAGTACGGAGTTAGGCTAGTAAGTTGAATTAAGTGTACCTGCAGCAGAGCAGTGTAGGCAAGAGAATACGTGTATGCTCAAAGTTTTACTCAAAGAACAAAAAAGTTGTGACGACGGAAGAAAGACAACTGGTGACCGCCTAATCTGTGGCTGCAACACTTACAAATAACCATCTAATAGAGACATATTTGTATACAACTGGTGTATTGTCTCAATATAATGTATTAATATTATTCTGGTATCATGTAAAGCATGATAGCAGCATGTAAATGTAGAATAGAATGGGAGGGATGAATCCCTCTTTAATGGTCACACATGCAGAGCACACAGCACGCACAGTGAAATGTGTTCTCTGCTTTTAACCCATCCAGTACCAGGAGAAGTGGGCAGCTATTGTACAGCGCCCAGAGAGCAATGGGACTGGGGGGGATGTCCGGTGCCTTGCTCAAGGGCACCACGGCAGGGGCCAGGAGGTGAACTGGGACCTCTCTAAGTAGCAGTCACACTCCATATTTAGGTCACAGTCCAAGCCCCTACTGACTGTAGTTAATCAGAATAAGTGTAAAGTGTGTCGGGGAGCACATCTGAACAACTAATGTTTTGTTATGTGGTTAAGAGTTTTTTAAGAAATTAAAGGATGATTTACATTCAGAAGAGCATGACTAATTTTAATAAAAAAGTTTATCATCAATATATATTCATAAAAGGAATGTGAGGAACATTTTAAATCTAGTTGTCAGTTTAGTTTAGTTGTTTAGTGGGTTATTGAGTGCAACCTCAGTTCTGGTTACCAGTGGATCTGACACACTGGTCCTTTTTACAAAAAAATGTATTTGAAAAGATCAACTGATTTCAGGCAAGATGACTGAAGAAGAAACAAAACACTTAGTATGTACCACTGTTAACTCACCTGAATCAGTGCCTTCAACAATGCTTTAATGCACTGACCAACTGCTCCTCCCTTTGCATTGAACAGCTCCAGAAGCTTTGGCGTGTACCTGTCCAGCTGGAACATAAATGTTGACTCAAGTGGAACCGCGGTGCATCTCATTTATCTGCAACACATTTTAAATTGGGAGATTATTAGAGACATAATGAATATGTTATAAAATACACAAGCCAGTTTAGTAGAAATGAATGGGGTCAACTTGTCGGTTACAATATTTTGCCAAAATCTAAAGCTGAAAATGTAGGCAAATTAAATGGCTTTCACTTTTTTCCCAATACTGGAAATAAAGATGCCTTCATTTTCCAAGATAGCAATGTCTTTTAGTAGAGGCTCAAGCACTGTGTCAAGTGTCCTATTAGAGTTGCCGTATGTAGTTGTCAAATATGGCGGACCATCTTGCACAACTCCGTACGGCAACCCAAGTAGGACACTTGACACAGTGGCGTTTGGCAAAGCACAAAAATAAAACTCGAGAGAGATGAGTTATTGTTATTACAACGTGACTTCACTATTATTTAACAACTCTTTTTATTGGGTTCTTTTATTTGGGGTTAAGTACATTGTCAGAATAAGTGAGAAATGGATTTAACTTCTGTTAAATGCCATACATTTTTGCATACATCCACAGTAAATATTTACTCAGTATGATAGCTGTCTAACAGAAGTTACATTAATTTCTCACTTATTCTGACAATGTACTCAACCCCAAATAAAAGAACCCAATAAAAAGAGTTGTTATATAAGACCCCGGCCACACGAGGACGAAAACGGCTAAACGCATAGGATTAACGCAAACGCAATCGCAAACAAGTTTCCGTTCACACGCAATAGTTATCCGGATAGTGTCTGCCCACACGAGACCCCTCCGTTTAGCTCCAACCACTGGAGAAGCTGCAGTACATATGCAGGAGCCTGTACGTGGCGCTGTAACTTCCTCCATAAAAGCAGCGAAGAAGCATGGTTGTCATGGTTATACCTTCTGTTTATTCTCCGCGGTGGGGGCCGAGGGAACCGGGCAGAGTTTTTCGCCAGTCAACGTGTATTAAAGTTTAAACCTTCCGACAAAATTATAAAAGTGCCGGTCAAAGGTCTTCTTTGTTATTTATTTAGCTTTAAAACAAATGAATAATAACTCTATATAATATAATAATAAAATACACGGAGCCTCTCTTTTTCCTCCCTCTCTTTGGACAGCGTCAGTGTCTGTCTCATGCAGCAGTTGATCCAGTAATGAGCGACCCGGCCGACAGTAAAAATAAACATATTTATAACTAGTTTAGGTAGTTTGAGAGGTGTCTCCGTCCTGTCAGATTAGACTTCACTCGCGTTTATGTCCATATCGAGAGAAAGATAAATAATCTGAATTCAGTGTGCAGTTTACTTTGACGCGGGGGTGAGCAGCAGAGGTGGGGAGAGGCGGGGCTATTGCGCAATCATTATCAGAAAATGATCGCTGAAGCTGCAGTACATATCCACAAAAGCAGCGAGTAAGATCCCCCCCGGATGTGTAAGTCTGCTGTAGATGTTGCACAAAGAACTGTAGCATGGTCAGTAGCGTCCGGAGCACGATAGCAACTCTGCGATCCGCCATTGTTGTTGTTGTTGGTGGCGAAACACATCAGCAATGGCGCGGGGTACGCGGAGGTGGGGAGAGGCGGGGCTATTGCGCAATCATTAGGCTTGTTTGAGACAAGCGAGACCTGCGCAGACCTGCGCAATTTCGATCAACGTCTTGCTAGTGCGTTGCATGATGGTTAGTCATTTTGTCCGACTTGCTCTGGAGGCCCGCCCACATGAGACTTTGAAATTTCGCGGGACAAAGACGCCCGCAGCCTTGAGAGCGAGGCGAGGCGAGTTGGCGCAGTTGCTCTCCACGGGCTGCGGAAGCGAAATGCTTGATGGGAAACGGCTCGCTGGTATCTCGAGCTGAGCGCTCATTGGTGGTTTTTACCACGTGCTGCTGATGAAACTCTCCAATTGGCTGGCAAAAGTTTGTTGTTGTTTTGTGTCAGTTTTACGTCGCCACATCCATTCCCATTTTTCATCATTGTTCCACAATGTTTATCATCATGAAATTAATATCTATATATTTTATACTATACTGCTTACCGTTTTCATACTTTATATATCTTAGCATATTCATACACACTGTTCATACTGCTCACAGGCTGATATCTAGTGTATTCATACCCCTCACTGTTTATTCATCATTCAATTCATTCTATATTTTATTCTGTAGATTGTGTACATTACTTTTCACTTTACTGCTTGTTGCACCTGGTTAGAAGCTAAACTGCATTTTTTTGTCTCAGTACCTATAATATGTGCAATAACAATAAAGTTGAATCTAATCTGGAGCAGGAACAAATGTATTTACTTAGTACATATCTGACATTAACGATTAAACACATGTGTGCATTCTTTATAAATGCAAACCGAGTCAAGCCGACTCCGGAGGTGGCGGTATGCACCTTAAAGTTGTTTGCAATCCGCCAAAAAACCGAGAGAAGAAGAAGAAGACGAAGCCGACTCCGAGCATGGACTCCGAGCTGTCCGACTTAAGACGAGCTTTTTGACACCTCCCCCGGCTGCGATCGGCTACTCTCGTCTACTTTCGAGGCGAGCCGCAATGTGTCTCAAACAAGCCTAGTATCAGAAAATGATCGTATAGGGCGCACACACGGAGCTGTTTGACCCCCCAGAGCGTTGCGTATGCCGTTCTATCCACCTTGGGACCCGTTATCGTTTCCTCAGTCGTTTAGTGCCGTATGCGGTCGTCCTCGTGTGGCCGAATGGTCTATATGACACTAAACAGTAACGCAAACGGCCGTTTTTGTCCTCGTGTGGCTGCAGCCTAATAGTGAAGTCACTATTACACAAACAAAGCAAAAATAAGAGTTCATTACATCTATTTTGTTCACATGGTTGATCTAAACTACTTTGGTTTAACATAATTTGTTTTAATATTTAAAGTTCAACTACTACTTTAGTTAAATGACATTGCACGTGTTGCCAGTAAGGCAAGGCAAGGCACGTTTATTTATATAGCACCTTTCAACACAAGGCAATTCAAGGTGCTTTACAAAAATGAAAGACATTCAGACAAAGGCATTTAAAAACAGTAAAAGATAATAAAAGAAACATTAAAAGAAAAAATACATGACTAAAAGTACATGAATAAAAATGTACAGTGCATTAAGATTTGAATAGTTCACACAGAAGATCCACTTTACTGATGAACACAACGGCTCAGTTTCAATTAAAATTAAATGCAGCGACAAAAAGATAAGTCTTCAGCCTGGATTTAAAAGTAGTAAGAGTTGTAGTGGACCTGCAGGTTTCTGGGAGTTTGTTCCAGATATTTGGAGCATTATAACTGAACGCAGCTTTACCATGTTTAGTTCTGACTCTGGGGACAGAAAGCTGACCAGTCCCTGAAGACCTGAGAGATCTGGATGGTTTATAATTTAGCAGAAGATCAGAAATGTATTTTGGGCCTAAACCATTCAGTGCTTTATAAATCAGCAGCAGTATTTTGAAATCTATTCTTTGACACACAGGAAGCCAGTGTAAAGACTTCAGAACAGGAGTGATGTGATCCACTTTCTTAGTGTTAGTGAGGACTCGAGCAGCGGCGTTCTGAATCAGCTGCAGCTTCCTAATAGATTTTTTAGTGAGACCTGTAAAGACACCATTACAGTACTCCAGTCTACTGAAGATAAAAGCATGGACAAGTTTTTCCAAATCCTGCTGTGACATTAGTCTTTTAATCCTAGATATGTTCTTTAGGTGATAGTAGGCTGATTTAGTAATTGTTTTAATGTGACTGTTGAAACTCAGGTCAGAGTCCATGACTACACCTAGATTTCTGGCTTTATCTGTTGTTTTGAACATTGCAGGCTGAAGCTCAGCGCTAACTTTTATACGTTCTGCCTTGGCTCCAAAGACCATTACCTCAGTTTTGTCTTTGTTTAATTGGAGAAAGTTCTGACACACCCAGTCATTGATTTGTTCAATGCACTTACTCAGTGTTTTAACTGGAGAATAGTCTCCTGGTGAAATGGTTATGTAAATGTGTGTGTCATCCGCATAGCTATGGTAACTTATTTTGTTGTTTTTCATTATCCGAGCCAGTGGTAGCATGTAGATGTTAAAGAGAAGAGGCCCCAAGATGGAGCCTTGAGGAACCCCACATGTCATATTTGTCAACTCAGATTTGTATTTACCTATAGAAACAAAGTTGTGTATGTCCTTTAAGTAGGATTCAAACCAATTTAGAACTGTTTCCGAAAGTCCCACACAGTTTTCTAGTCGGTCTAGTAATATGTTGTGGTCAACAGTGTCAAACGCAGCACTGAGATCTAATAATACTAACACTGAAGTTCTGCCACTGTCTGTGTTTAAGTGGATGTCATTGAAGACCTTTACAAGAGCAGTCTCAGTGCTGTGGTTTGGACGAAATCCTGACTGGAACACATCTAAACAGTTATTTAAATGCAAGAAATTACTCAACTGTTGAAAGACTACTTTTTCAATGATTTTACCTAGAAATGGGAGGTTTGATATGGGCCTGTAATTGTTCATTACTGAAGCGTCTAGATTATGCTTTTTTAAGAGCGGTTTAATGACTGCAGTTTTCAGGGCCTGTGGAAAAACACCTGAGTGAAGAGACTTGTTTACTATATGAAGTAGATCTGAGGCCATGCAAGGACAAACATTTTTGAAAAACCCTGTTGGAATAATATCAAGGCAGCAAGAGGAGGATTTCAGAAGTTGTATAATGTCCTCTAGGTTTTTATCATTAATCTGATGGAATTGTGTCATGGTGTTTGAATTGATATTAGGTGGACACAGAGACAAAACATTTGCTGTTCCTGATGCAGAGGCACTGACTGCTTGTCTGATTTTCTGAATTTTGTCAGTGAAGAAGGAGGCAAATTCATTGCACGCCCTGGTGGATAGAAATTCAGAGGCTACTGACACTGGGGGGTTAGTTAGTCTGTCGACGGTAGCGAACAAGGCACGTGCGTTGTTTTTGTTTTTGGCAAGGATATCAGAGAAGAAAGACTGTCGGGCAAATTTCAATTTCAAATTATAAAGGCCAAGTCTCTCTTTATAGATTTCAAAGTGCACCTGGAGATTTGTTTTTCGCCACCTGCGTTCAGCTTTTCGACACTCTTTTTTCTCTGTTCTCACGGTCATGGCCTTTCTCCATGGAGATATTTTCTTCCCAGTCACTTCCTTTACCCTAGTTGGAGCAATGGCATCTATAACATTTTTAATTTTTGAATTAAAATGATCTACTAGCTCATTTACTGAGATGTTAGCAGTAGGTCC